CTGAAACTGATCATTACTGAGGCCAGATAAGTCATTCCTAAGAATATCAGGCACACATAACACCCATTTTCAGGTTTGTGAAAACCATAAAGTGTGGCTGTTTGTTGGGCCTGGCAACAGCTCTAAACTCATTAGGGTAAGCTCACTGCTGCCTCTAAGTGGCCTAATTGCCATGGTTTGGCAAGTTTGCTTTCTTTTTATCTTTTTTTTCTGCCAACACAGTGATTAGCACTGTGTTACAGTTAGTGGGGTAAATTAGTGACTCTGTTGCCAAAGACTAAAGCAACCCTCTCCAGTAGAGATGACTTCTGGCTGGCTTTAATCATTTTATCACTGTGCAGTCCTTAAAGCAGTTTGCAGAGGCCTTGATTGCAGGAGATAGACATGCCTCTCACTTTTCACAGATATCTTAGACGAAATGCAGATATTGACCAAATGTGGTATTTCAGTGTCCTGAATCGTTTTCGCTGGATCAAGGGTTAAGACTTGAGCTGTGCTGCAGTGCCATCTACTGGTGATAAGTGGAGTTACAGATGCAACTTTAGGAAAGACGTTTAGTTTTATACAGTAATACTGTACAGTACATGCTAAACAAATAGGTATTTCTCTACTAGAAATGCCACCCTGCAACCCAGGGTGCACGTTTTTTATGTTTTTGCCCAGTGGTGAGTCACCACTTGAAAATGTTAGTGACAGTATGTAACATTTTCAAGTGAATGAAGAAATGAATAAGTGACTAAATAGGATAAAAATGGCACAAACAGTTTCTTTTTTCTGTGATTTGGTGCACAATTTATTTTAATGTTATACATTATTAATACCTGAAATTGTGTAGATTTTAAATATACAGTGTTAGGATTAATGACACTGTTTTGGATTTGCAGATTTGTTAAAAGATGTGTTGCTGTATTTGTGACAGTATTCACTGTCTTGTAATTCCATGTGAGATAGGACAAAATGATTGGCATAATTGATTCAGCTGAGTCAATTAGTGGCCATAAGTACAAAAGAGGTTTTAAATATGTCACATTTTCAGACTAACAAGGTGTCAAAATTAAAGACTGAACAGAATTAAATTTAATTAACTTTAATTAAATTAACCAGTATCTACACTGAACACTATGCTTTATAGAAATAGCTTTCATTTTATCCTACATTTAGAAAAGCGAACTAGGTCTGAGGTGAAGCAGAGACAACAATAGAAAGGAGCAGATCAGGGGAAATGCCACTGCTGACTAAACATTTCAGCTGGAGAAAGAGCAGCTGTGATATTGTGTGGCCCAGCTGCTTAGATGATCTGATTAAGGACATGTTCTGAATCACGTAGCTCTCACAGTTCACACACAGATAGGCTTCTGTTTGCGCCTGTTGTAAAGAGCCCCATTCACCTTATCAGAGAATAAAGTGCATGTTTTGGAAACTTTAGTTTGTTTTAGGCTCACTCAGTGGCTCACTTTGCACTGACTGAACAGAGAGAGAGAGAGAGAGAGAGAGAGAGAGAGAACTGACAACAGTGAGATGTTGGAAGTTAGTCTCCTATCTATCTATATGTAGAGAGAGAGAGAAAGAGAGATCTCAGACTTTTGTGATGTAAAACAGCAGGTACATTAAGGATTTCCAGCAGTCAGCTTGAGGAAACAAAACATCAAGCAATGAATCAGTGAGTCATGTACAGCCCTCCAGGGACATAGAGAGGCAACAAACAACCTTCTAATATTCACTGTGTGAATTACAAACAAAAACAAATAAATGCTGACAAAATTCAGTCAGTATCAGTTCCACAGTATTTAAGATTTTGTAAAAACCCTGATTATGTGCAGTGAAAATGCTTTTTATGACAAATGCCAATGCTGACTACTAAATTATGACTGAGGGCAAGATAGATTAAGGCAACTAAAATTCATAAAGATTTTATTTATCAAATTTATCAAAATTGAAGGGGTCTGAATGTTAGCACTGATTACAGAAGGCAGATAGCTTTCACCAAAGACAGTAATCAAAAACAATGTCACCACGGATTGAAGCTGTTCTGGCTGCAAGTTGTGGCCCAGCACCTTAAAACACCTAATGTTGTTTTTTTTTTTTTTTTAATCTGTCACCTTCCTCTAACTCTCTGTATGAAAGTGAATAAGGGCATTTTTCCACAAAATGTCATACTACTTCTTTAAGTTTGTATCTTCTCAGTCAAAGAACATACTGTGCCACACAGCTTTACAGCCGTCCCACAATGTGCTGCAGCAGCACTTTAGTGCACACAACTTCACTTCAGGTTGTGTTATTCATCCACCTTCTGCCCACTTCTCCCTCTCAGACTAACTGAATACGGCAAAGGTGACGACATTCATCATATACTTGTACAAGAGCAACAACTATAAAGAGCAAAGCAGGGCTGATAAGAGAGGGAGAGACAAGTGGCACGACATAGTCTACTGTACAGTAATATCCAACGGCCTCTGGTAGAGACTGATGCAGGTACACTATAGTACAGTAGCAGCAGGGCAAAAAATGTAGAAGTCAAGGAACAGGGCAATCAAAAATATAATATCTCAGACAGAGTACTGATCAAATCTAGTGCTGCTGTACTGTAGGCACACTGCAGTTCCTTTTATAATGTTCTGTAAACTACACTGTACATAAAGCAGCTTTTAGTATCTGCAGTATTCTACCTCCACCACAGCTGAACAGTGTAAACACCATGACAGTGTGAGCTGACATATGTCTTGCAATTAAAAACAGTACTTGTATTCCCTTCCTATCAATGTGACTGATTGCTGACAGTGCAGCTTGGCAGCCAGTGGGTGTCACTCTGAAGTGCACACTCAAAACAAACAGTGCACAGTAAGCCTTTGTTCAGCAATGGTGAAATGAGTCCCTATTTTTATGCAACTGGTCAGTTGAGGCTACACACATAGACATGTAAAGCATCCTGTGTAGTGCTGATAAAACAGCTCTTGAATCTCAAGCGTTTAAAGTTGGCCTGGTTCCAGCCCCCTGCGGTTCTGATGAGTAGTGGAGGATGTTGTACATTCATTAGAAGAGAGAACTGTCAGGAGCCAGGCTCACAAACAACCTTGGTCTCTAATGCCCTCCCAGCTGTAAAATGTTTTGTTTTTTGGTTTGTGTGTGTCTGTGTGTATGTGTGTGTGTGTGTGTGTGTCTGTGTGTGTGTGTGTGTGTGTGTGTGTGTGTGGTTGGCAAAATTCTTTTTTTTTAAAGGATAAGGCTGGTGATATCCTGTATTGTTGTTGCTAACAACAAATCCTGGACAATAAATCTTGTAAAATATCTAAAACCAGTGATTAATTGATCGTTACCAAGTCCTGTCTGTGTACCTCCCTGTTCTGAATACCTCTGTCACCCAAAAACTGTATTTTAAAAAACACATTACTGATCAACATCACTCAGTGATACTGTATATTACTCATTATAAGGAGCTTAGGCACCCATGTTAGCTAAAAACTACCACGCACTGCTATTATAGCAAAAAAAGTAAAAATTCATATTTCCCTGGTTTTAGACACGAGTGCAACAGACAGGGAAGCAAAACTGGCACATATTGAAAGAATTATCTACATAGGCACAAAACTACCTTATGATGAGATACTACTGTGTTTTTATGGCATCTCACAATAAAAACATAATCTCCATGACAACGTAGGTACTCATCCTCAGGGGATGGCCATGAAATGTGATAGCTTCAAAAACAGTAAATAAGAGAAAGCACTGTTGGTTTTAGTCTTGTCATTGAAGTTCTTACAATATGGAAATATACAACAAAACTCAGCCTTATCATTTAAATTAAGTTTGATACATAATGTATAAAATAGAGTGTAATAAAATCAGTGTTACAAAGAAATATGGATAAACAGTGGGAAAGGAAGCTAATAAATCACTTCCCCACTTCTTTCTCTTTCTTTCCTTTGTTTGCATTTTTTTGCAAATGAAGATCATTTAAAGGTATTTTTTTAATGTTAGGCATTAAGTCACATTTGTGTTTTAAGGTACAAACTAACTGTAAGACAATTCTGCCTCTGTAAGCCTTAAGAAAAATGATGAGTTGTGTGCATTACCCAGAAGCAGTAGAATTAGAGCTCTGCAGGAGAAAAGCATAATGCAGAGAGAGGATGAGTAAGAGAGACAGACAGACTGAAAGAGAGAGAAATCTTCAAAGTATCGTGGCTCATATCCTGACGTTTCATAATAAGTTTGGGGCACAGGTTGGGGCACAGGTTAAGTGATTGCACCAGGTATAGCTTGGTTGATGCATCCAGAACATGTAGGCCCTTTGATTAAAACACCCTTGACCCAATTCACTACTGCCTGCTATAACCAAAAACTGTCATTTTCAAACGGTTGTATCCCTGATTGAAATCAATGCTACTTTCAATAATATTGATTGTTCTGTGACAAATTAACAGGAATAAATTTATTGCTTTCTGTGAAACTCATATCTCTCTAATGGAGAAATAACTGACCAGTGATAATAATTATTACAGAGGGCTAATGTGAATGTGTGTGAGTCCCAGACAGTTAGTTAGTAAGTTGGTTGGCTGTGTTCCCTGTCTCCTCCTCAGAGAGAATGAGGACATTCTCGTGTCGTGACCGAGAAACTGTCACAGTGCCTGCTGTTGCCACCCATAACTGCCAATCCCAGGATGCATGTCCGCTTCAATGCCCATCTTTTTTTTTTTTTTGCAAAGTGAAGGTTGATGGTGGATGCCAGTGTGCAGACCTCCACTGTGTATTCCTGTGTCACTGTGCCTCTCGTGACTTTATGAGGCAGCATCCTCAGAGCCCCTTCAAGCTGTCCATATCCAAGTGTTAAAGCCTGAGACTTTATTAATGTGTGGTGAGCCAGAATCGGAGCATCTATATGCTCTTTGCTTGCAATGTGAGTGTCCCTAGGTGAATGAATATGCAGGATCCTGTTGACACAAACAAAAAAGTCATTTTGCTCATTTTCATTTGAGTCTTTGCAGCTTCCGTCCACTTCCGTCCAGTTTTTTTTTTTTTTTTTTGGTCAGAGTACTTGTCTTGTGTTTCCTTCACCTGTTGCTAGTCTGCAAGAAAGGGAGAAACTGAATCAGAACACTTATATTTATATGGGCAATTATTTGACAAATGTCTACTTCTTGTGTTTTTTTCTCATTGGCAAGACTGTGCTCAAACCTTGAGTCTACTCAGCAGTGTTAACAGGGAGAGCTCAGTGGAAAATGGGTCAATAATTCTTCTGCCAGAGGATAAATAATAAATCATTATTATAATTAATATTGATGGACATGAGGACAAATATAACATGAGGAAAGCAGTTTGCTTACTGTAATTTTTCATATAGGCCACATGACAATACAAAATATTGTGGTTTATATTCATTTTCTATTGACATTTCTCTGTTAGAAAGACAGTTGAATAAAAGAAATCAGTCGGTGCCACCACACACTGTATTTGTTCACAGTGACAATGGACAAGACTACTGTAGAAATCAGTAAGCATGTAACACTTCAAAATGAACAGCCATTTGAAAAGCGTAACAGGGAAATATAAATGTTATATTGTACTTTACCATGGTCAGTAAAACTATTTGTCTTCACAGATGTGAATATTCAAACTGTAATTCTACAGAGAATGCATCTCATTAGATGCTGTTCAAAATAAAGGCACCATGTGGCTTTATGGGGTGGGAGCCCCTATCACAAGCGATTATTCCTCATCAGTGTGCTCTTAAGCAGTTTACCACAGCGACAGTGTAAGTAATTTTTACATGAGAGATGTTCGGTTTACAGAATATGTTGTGCACAGTGTTAGAGGTGTTTACCTTTACGTGTGGACTTGGACTGACTAGTAGCCACAGTTGTCAGATCTGCTGGTAGACCTACATATACACCGCCATAGTTCCTGAGAGCACATGACGTTGCAGTAAGAAGACCAGCTAAATGGAATTCAGCCATTACTTTACTATTTACAGCTGTGGTTTTACAACTGTGACATGTCCAAATGTCTCCTATTAAAAGGCCTATTAACATTCACATTCCATAAT